CATTTTTGAAAATGCCCATTCTCGGTGGTAAGATCGATTCCAAACTTTCTATAACAGATAAAACCAAAAACGAAGTGGCATTCTCTTTGTTAGATATTTCTTTAGGTGTGGAACCTCAAAAAAGTGGAATTTTCTTCCTCCCCCCCTATTTTTAGAGTACTTTTTCTCTAAAATATGCAAAAAAAGGTGTTTTTATTCAGAATTTCTCTTATAAAATAAAGAGAGTTGGAAATTTTCTAGTTTTTGAGGTTTCACTTATAGGCATGATGACGCTGAATCAAAAGCCTTTTGATTTTTTAAAATCGCTTTAGAAGAACTGGAGATATCACTCTTTCCAGATCAAAAAAAGACATTTTGAGAAAAACGCATTTTAAGTTTTTGTTCATAAGTTTTGAAATTTACAAAAAAATCATTGAATTTGCTTGAAAATCGTTACGGGGGGTTTTGGGGTCGCTGATTACGAATATGACATAATTTTTTAAAAATTAAAAATGGCAGATACAATATGGTGAACGAAAAAAAAAATTAAAATAAAAAAATTTTCTTTTCCGCCATGTTGGATCCCCCATTTTCAATTTTGAAAATTTTATATCTAATTTTTGATCAGCAACACCAAATACATTTTTGTTTGTCTTTTTTAAAAAATGCAAATGAGAAAACATTTAAATCATACGATTGCTTATCCGCATACAAAAACATCTTTGAAATGGCGAAGAATAAGGATGTATAATTTTTGTTTTACTTCGAATTTTGCAATATTATTTTAGGAGAGTATTCTTGACACTATAAAAAATCCGCCATTTTGAATTTAATTTTAATAAAAATTTTTGAAATTATGTGTCAAATGCTTAATAAATAAAGCATTAACTAACAAATTAAAACCAATTCAACGCATGTAACGCGGCAGTGCAACCGCCCGTGAAACTGCACGCTCCATGTCTTTTTTACAGCGCGTAACAGGCTTAAAAAACCATCGGTACACTTCAGAAAGCCTTACCCATTGTTCGAAGATAATTGAATCTTAAATAATTATACGAATTAGTTTTTTAAAATATTTGCGATTTTTCACAACTGGAGGCGGGGTGGGAGTAAAAATTAATGCAAAATTGTCCATTTGGTTTATGGAACAACGATAAAATTTATATCTCTCACTCATACCTCGTTCTCGATCTGCCTTTCTTTTACTCCTTAATCTATATGTGAGTGAAAAAAGAAAAATAATTAGCCAATAAGGAAATAAGACGCCCATTTCGTATTTTGGCTTGAGAGTAAAATTCCCCACTTTTCCTTCCCCTATCAAATTCTGTTCCTCTCTTTCTACCTGACACGGAAAATGGAGAAAACATGGTACCCCCTTCTAAACCCAAAAAGTGGGAATTACTTTCTTAACTATTCGTCTCTCTTTCGCTCCTACTCTAAACTAAAAGGAGAGACAATACCTCCCTTCCTCTCTTTCTCTCTCACTGTGAACAGAGTATATAAGGAAAGACTAACTTAATATATATGGGCAATTCCACGCAAGATTTACCTATGACCTTGAGAATTCGGTTAAACATATTTTTTTCTCAATCTATATGGAAAAAAAAGAAATACGTGTTTTTTTATTTTTGTTTAATCGCCCAAATTTTCGAGTTATGAATGTTCGAAATTTTGGATTTGTAACTGTAGACATATTTTCAGTAGCTTATAAGTCTGAAAATATTGAGTTTAGAAAAAACTTGTCAAGGAATGAAAGTTTTAGTTTTCTTTCAACTTTTAAGAAATGTAAAAAAAAATTTTTTTTTTAATTTTTTATTAAAAAAAAATTTTTTTTATAAACAAATTAATTTTTTTTAAATTTGGACCCCTTTTTTTTAAATTTATTTATACCTTATAATATACAGAAGATTTTCCAAAAAGTTTTGGAGTGGGCCGACGCGTTTAATGAGTTGTACAAAATTTTCAAAAATCACGTGCAAGGTGCTCGCGTTCTACGAAACTCCTCACAATGGAATTTTTTTACAATTTACTTCTCAAAAAATGTCTACAGACTAAAATTTTTAATCGATTCGAGTGTTTTTTGTTTTAAATAAAAGGAGAACAATTTCTGAAGATATCTCTCCATGCAAACCTAAAAATCTTCAATTGTTTATAATTTTTTTTAAAAACAAAAAGTTAACAAATTAATTGTGTAGTTTCCTTTAAAAATGAAAGATTATTTTCTTATTTTGCTACTACACATGTCCTAAATCAGATTCAATTAATATAACATACGACCGCCAAATAAATAGTAAAACATAAAATAATTTATCTAAACTGTTATAAACAATATTAGTTAACAAATAGTTAACTTTGGTTCCTCTCCATAAAAAAACTTTGTTCTTTCATATTCATATTGTACTTTAGGTTCATTTAATGAATACATCTCCCTTTCGTTAAAAAACAATTTTTAATTGTTATAAACAATAATAGTTAACAAATAATGAACTTTGGTTCCTCTGCACCAAAAAGAATTTTTTTCATAGTTTTCATTGAAGTTTATTACAAAGAATGTTTGTGTCAAAATAAAACAATAAACATTTTAATGTAAAATATATATTAATTGCATTTATTTTATTTTAATTAATTTTTTTATTTTAATTTTCAAAAACACAAGGAAAGAAAAAAAACATTTAATACAAATTTATATAAATTAAATTGTTTATAGTTATTGAACAAACTATTTCATACGTTCACTATTTTTTAACATATATTCTTTGTAATAAACTTCAATGAAAACTATGAAAAAAATTCTTTTTGGTGCAGAGGAACCAAAGTTCATTATTTGTTAACTATTATTGTTTATAACAATTAAAAATTGTTTTTTAACGAAAGGGAGATATATTCATTAAATGAACCTAAAGTACAATATGAATATGAAAGAACAAAGTTTTTTTATGAAGAGGAAACAAAGTTAACTATTTGTTAACTAATATTGTTTATAACAGTTTAGATAAATTATTTTATGTTTTATTATTTATTTGGTGGTCGTATGTTATATTAATTGAATCTGATTTAGGACATGTGTAGTAGCAAAATAAGAAAATAATCTTACATTTTTAAAGGAAACTACACAATTAATTTGTTAACTTTTTGTTTTTAAAAAAAATTATAAACAATTGAAGATTTTTAGGTTTGCATGGAGAGATATCTTCAGAAATTGTTCTCCTTTCATTTAAAACAAAAAACACTCGAATCGATTAAAAATTTTAGTCTGTAGACATTTTTTGAGAAGTAAATTGTAAAAAAATTCCATTGTGAGGAGTTTCGTAGAACGCGAGCACCTTGCACGTGATTTTTGAAAATTTTGTACAACTCATTAAACGCGTCGGCCCACTCCAAAACTTTTTGGAAAATCTTCTGTATATTATAAGGTATAAATAAATTTAAAAAAAAAAAGGGGTCCAAAGTTAAAAAAAATTAATTTGTTTATAAAAAAAAAATTTTTTTTTAATAAAAAATTAAAAAAAAAATTTTTTTTTTACATTTCTTAAAAGTTGAAAGAAAACTAAAACTTTCATTCCTTGACAAGTTTTTTCTAAACTCAATATTTTCAGACTTATAAGCTACTGAAAATATGTCTACAGTTACAAATCCAAAATTTCGAAAATTCATAACTCGAAAATTTGGGCGATTAAACAAAAATAAAAAAACACGTATTTCTTTTTTTTCCATATAGATTGAGAAAAAAATATGTTTAACCGAATTCTCAAGGTCATAGGTAAATCTTGCGTGGAATTGCCCATATATAGATATAATAATAATATTCGCCTCTCTTTCGCTCCTACTCTAAACTAAAAGGACAGGCTATACTTACCTCTCTTTCTCTATATCAACCTTTCTCTCTCAATGCGGACAGAATGTACACGCTCTGGACAGACTGAATGAAAGAATACGAAGATTATTATAGTTAATTTCTATTTAAAAATTAAGAAAAATTATTAATACTTACACAGTGCAACAGCATTTTTATTTCTGGGATCGCATAGGGTGATTTTTATAGGTTTTTTGATGCCGAACGCGAATCCGTAATCAGAATTGTTCCATCACCATAGATTTTTGAGAAATTTGACCTTGAAAATTGAAAAAAGGCCGTTTTTGAGGTACTTTTTGGTTTTTTATCAGGATATAAAAATTTTTTCTAGGGTTTCAATGATATGCGTACGAAAGCTCATATCCTTTTCAACAATCTCCAATTTTTGACATTTTAAAACTACCTATTTCTCGATGAGCTATCCTTGTTTGAAGTTCGCATCGTAACGTCAAATGGGATAACACTGAGAAAAATATTAACATAATTATAATATTATTGATATTAACCTATTAAATCTCAAGAAGATACCATTATTCATTAAAGAAACTATTACATTCTTAGGAAAATCAAAAATAAATTGACCATTGTTTTTTTTTGTTTATCATTTCAAATTTTTTAACAATAATTTAACAAAAACAAAGAAAACTCATCGAAAAATAGATATTTTTAAAATGTTTAAATTGGAGATTGTTGAGGAGGATGTGAGCTTTCGTATGCAAATCATGAAAAACCTAGAAAAAATTTTTGTATCCTGATAAAAATCCAAAAAGTATCCCAAAAACGTCCTTTTTTCAATTTTCAAGGTCAAATTTCTTTAAAACCTAGGGTGATGGAACAATTCTGATTACGGATTCGCATTCAGCATCAAAAAACCTATAAAAATCACCCTATGCGATCCCTGAAATAACAAAAAAGTGAAATTCTGTTGCACTGTGGTATTAATAAGAAAAAATGATTTTTAAAAAAACTTACAATTTGAATTTTTGATATTAAGAAAGAAGTTAATATATTTTTTGTGACTTTTTTTTGGTTTTTTTTGATAAAAAATTATTTGTCTTTTCTTCAATATAAATAGTTTTTAAAAACGATTTTTATGTATAAAATATTGCTCTGAATTTCTTTGCACGTCACAAAAATATAAGCATTTTTTGTTTTTCTAATTATTTAGAGCATCAACTCGTTCCAGTCGGAGGCAAGTGCATTACTGGATGGCGATGGAAAGTCAGGAATCGCGGGTCAAGCGAGGTACTTGAGGAAAGATGTACAAAAAAAGATATCACGACTAAGACAGGACAGAGCGTCGTCGGAGGCATTTCCTTGTAGTGCAAGCAGTGTTGAAAGTCTTCCAAGTGGAAGTGGTTCCAGTACACAAGCTTTGGTACGAGCGGGAAGTAATCATAGTTCGATATCCTGCGAAGATAGGGAGGCCATTAGTCCAACGTCCATTGGTCCCGTTCTCTGTAGAGCGAGAGCACTAGTCGATTACACACCCAGTCCATATGACAAGGACGCTTTGAAGTTTAAGGTTCGATTCGTTTTCCTTACTTTTATTTACTTTTATTTCAATTACAACTTTACTCTTTTCTTTCAATTTTAATCGCATGTAAATGACACAGAAAAATACTTTTCCCGCAATTATTTTATCAAAATCATTTTTTCTTCGATTCTTTAATTAAAATTTTTCCATTTTAATCTGAGGTCGAAATTCTTCGAATTTAAAGGAAATAATTTAAGTTAAATGTTTTAATTGAGTTAAATATTTAAAAGCTTTAATTAATTTTAAACAGGGTCATTTGGAATAAACGTAAACAAGGGGTAAATGACTAAATGTAAACAGTTAATGAAAAAAATTAGATATTTTGATATAAAATAAATCAAAAATTTATAAACAAAAAAGTTATTAATGTTTTTTATAAAAAAAGTCTGATTTTTTCAAATTTTTGTTTAATTTTCAATTTTTTCTACTACGAAATAGCAGAAAAATAATTCCAAATATTACAAATAACGTGACAAAAATATATAAGCTACAAGATAGGACTATAGAGATAATTTAAAATTAAAATGGCGGCTCAAAAATGAAGTTTGAATTTCAAATTTTTTTGCAAAATTTTACTCGAAAGCACGAAATTGTTAAAAATGTTTAGATTAGCTTGAAACTTGTTACTGGGGGGTATCAGGGGTTGCTGATCACGAATATGAAGTCCAATTTATAAAATTAAAAATGGCGAATCCAATATGGCAGACAATTTTTCTAAAAACTTATTAGATTCGCTTGAAACTTCTTATTATGCGGAGGTTGTTGGTCCGTTGAAATTTGTTAATCATGTTCTTTAGCCTTTAAAATGTTTAAAATATTTTTAATGTTGCTGTTCCGGGATTGCGGGTTTTCCAAATAAATTTGACACCAAAAATTAATTTCATAAACAAATTTGATTAAATTTATTTAACAGTTCACTGAATGAAGAATTTTGTAAATCAATTACACACCAGAATTATATATATAATGATTATAAGTACGACTTTATCAAATTGTTGTGCTAGTCGTCTGATAGCGAGCGACAGACTTGCCAAACCATAAGTGACATTCGTGAGCTTGAAAGTAAGGGGGACGTCTGAGAGGGATATTCTCCAAAGGATTTTTTGAAAATCCCTATCATCGGGATGAATTAGGATTTGGCGAAACATTTTCTCTATGTCCGCTGAGAAAACAATTCGAAATTTACGCCAACGAAGAAGTATTTCAGACATATCGGTTTGGAGTTTTTGTCCTATATGTAGGAGTTCATTTAATGAAACTCCAGTGGAAGAAAGTTTAAAGCCATTAAACACCGCGGGAATTTTGGTAGATGTGCTGCTGTCTTTAAATATGCCATGATGAGGTAAGTAGTAGCATATTTTGTCATCGTCAGCATATTGAGATAGTTCCATATGCTTAAGATCGGAATAAATTTAAAAAAACTTTTTATAAGCTTCAAATAATGAAGGATTTTTTTCAAACCTACGCTCCATGCCTTTCAGGGTACGTAAAGCTTGCAACCGTGAATTTCCTAGAGATTCAGGGTCACTTTTAAATGGCTGACGAACCATATATCTGCCTTCTTCTGTGCGTATATGCGTATCACAGAAAATTCTTTCGCAGTCTTTTTCTTCCTTTGTTAAGAGAGAATTGGAGGGCATTGTGATTTCCTCTTGTTCCCAAAATCGTTGAAGGAGTTCTGTTAGATTATTTTGAACTACACAAAGTAGACTTACGACACTGTGGGTTGGAATTGTAATTTCACTATACTGATTTGAGATTGTCTTAGTGGAACCAGTTAGAATCCACCCTAGAACTGTATGTTGTGCAACAACTGGAGTGTTAGGGCCTATTTTAAGTCCAGGGCGTATGATAGTGGCATAAGCTTCACATCCAAGCAATAACTCAACAGCTTGTCCTGAATTCAAATCTGGATTAGCTAATTCAACTGCACTGAGTTGATGCCAACTATTTGAAAGAGAACTGGTGGGTGGAAGATATTCTGTCAAGCGTGTCAATACTAGAGCAGTAGTTTTAAGTTTAAAGGTTGAACTAGACTGACGAGGCGAAACTATAAATTCCACTTAGCCCTTAGAATTTTCAGATGGAGTTGCTCCTATTCCTGAAATACTCACATTTAAACATTTCCTAGGTAACTACATAGGAAATGTTTAAATGTGAGTAAGAGATTGAGCGAGAGATTCTGAAATGAAGTTACACCCCGTGCATGGATCTAACAATGCTCTTGCGAATGTAGAGATCCCATCCTTTGAACGGATTCGAACCATGGCAGTACTTCAGAGCATTGGAGTATGTTTGGTTACCGAGGTGTCAATAATGTGTCCGGTAACTGTACTTTTAGAGGGTTGTGATTCCGGGTGTGATGAAGTATCCGGACCACCTTAAGAGATAGTAGAGGTATTACCAGGTTTTGTTTTGTTTGGATCATGAAGTAGAGAGTGATGCTTTTGAAAACAGGTGCGGCAAACATTCTGAGATTTACAATCCTTAGTGATATGTGTCCCTAAACAATTAAAACAAAGCTTACTATTGCGAGTAAATTGAAATCTTTCTGGAATCGATTTAGATTTAAATTCTGTACATGTTCCTAAATAATGGTTCTGTTTACAACAGGGACATTTTTGAGGTTTCCGTTGTGGCTTCGAAGTTGAGTTAGTAACAGGATGAGCATTTACTGACTTATTACGTTTGTCATTTTTGTTATGATTTGAGGATCGGGCGTTTGTGTCTGTAGTATTAGAAGAATTAGCTAAAGATTCTAGTGTACGAGTACGACAAAAAGATTTTCAAGACTTCAAAATCTGGCGGATTCGTAGTGGCTCCTAATGAGTTCTCCCAATCTCGACGGGTTTGAGGGTCTAATCGTTGAACATTAATATATACCAACCAATCATCCCACTGATCAACTGCACGGTTTAGAATCCTAAGATTTCCAATCGCATCATTGGTACCATTAAAGAGATCTTTTAATTCACTTACCGATTCTTTGGAAATGATTTTAATTTACAAAGGGTAGAAATTTAAACATTTATCAAAATCCGTAAGTTTTTATACTCTTCAGTCAGAGTTTGCCAGGCGCGATTGAAATTATTAGCGGTAGGAGGAATATTATGTAATAACAATGCTGCTTCCCTTATTAAGGCGGTCTTGAGATAATGAAAACGTTCAATATCACTTAAGGAACGATTCTCATGTATCATGGATCTAAACAGGTCCCTAAAGTTAGCCCACTCTTGATATTCACCTGAAAATTTTGTAATGTCAATGCGGGGTAAGTGATGACGAATCGGAGCTTCTATTGGGTGTGCTGTAGTCGTATTACCACCTTCTTCGAAGAACGCATTTTGGCGGAGCCTTTCTGATAGTCGAGCTGTGCGAGCCTCCTTGCTCGAAAATGATGCGCGCCATTCTCACGCGTTAAGCGCTCAACATCGATGTTGTCTGCAAAATTCTTGCATTGCTGCCGGTCGACATTATCGAGGAAATAGTAGTAGTATGCATAGTGAAAAGCACAGATTGGCCTCTAAAATTTTAAAGACATATTCTTCGATAGTTTTGGAATAGATTTAAGACACAAAAAAGTCGATTTTTTAGGCCTATAAAGGAGACTACTGCCTTAAAAAAGGCACTAAGAAGTTAACCGCGCGCTTTAGCGCGCTAATTGTTGCTAGTTATTAACTATAATAATCGTCGTATTCTGTCAAGTCTGTCCACACTTGAAGTTAGACTAATAGTGCATGCTTTTTTTATATGTTCTGATAGACAATATTATACTTAATTATTTTTTTAATTTAATAACAATATTACTTCCATATAGAGGAAGTATTGTAATACCAAAATTTTTTGAGTTCGATTTTTTGACATATCTTTATGTTATTTGACCTCAGGAGTTCAAAAATTACATTTTTAAAAAATGTCATTCCGTATGTGTGTGTGTGTAAACATCACATTTTCATAAATATCTCGAAATCATAAAGAGCTTTAGGGTTGAATTTTTTTTAAATTGTAGATCTCACCTGCGGACATAAAATGAGAGTACTTTGTGATAGATTAATAAAGTTTAACTTAATTTTTTTTGGATTTTTAAATTTGCAAAAAAGCGTTTTTTAACCATAATTTCAAAAAAATGTTAGGATTTTTTATAATTTTGTAGTTTTTTTAGACGCATCTTTAGAGCCCTAATTAAACATTTTTTGTCCATTGATGTGCTTCTTGGTGTAATACAATTCATTTTGAAGTCCAAGTGTAATGATGTGCATTAATTTCAAGTGAGGGTCCGAAAGAGAATTCAATATCCAATGCGTAGATTTTTATTAAATCCTTATAATTTTCTTTAAAAATAATAGGCCTTTGGATAATTGTACAGGGCTTAGAATCTATGGCTCACACATGTAATTGAATGTATAGGTGCGTATGTAGATGAAATTAAATTAAATAAAATTAAAATGAAATTAAATATGTATGAAATTGTGTAGGAAGGCAGGCTAGCAGTGGAAGTGATTGCATTTGAAAGTAGTCAGGCGGCTCCGCAGTAGTATAAGGGCCCAATTGTCATCCTTCAACGGTGTAGAGAGATGATAGTGGTGTGCGAATATACAGGCAGTATCACACAAACACAATATGCTAAACCGAAGAATTCATATATGAGTGATTCTACAAACGAAGGACAAAAATCAAGAAAATTTGATCAATCAATATCATTTTTGTTTGATCATCAATCAACATTTTTTTCTCATTTAAGGTCTGAAAAGTATTTTAACTTCAAGTTAATGGTACTAATAAAGACCACCATAAGTGCCCAGACAAAATATTAAAAACCGCTGTCAAGTTGTACATTTTTATAATTTTGGTGTTAATTTCATGAAGACTTTGCTTCCTCATAGAAATAATAATAATTGAAATATAAGAATTACTTTTTATAAAAGGGTTAAAAATAATTAATTCTTGGTCCAAAAAATGTGTTTTTATATATTCTATAAGATGGTAAT